TAATTAAGAAGATGTTTACGAGTAGGTCAATAATTTCAATTTCACGCTTGGAGCTTCAATGACGTGTACATCTTTCCAAAGAGGTATACCTCAAGGAAGCGTGTGATCTCCACTTCTCTGGAACCTAACAATGAATAAATTGCTATTAGATCTGGAAAAGAAAGGGGTATATGTTTTGGCCTACACTGACGATGTGGTGGCTTCGGTTAGAGGTAAATTCCCGAATACTCTCGCAAACCTTATGCAAACAATCTTGGACGATATAAATCGTTGGGCTGTATCGTGCGGATTAAACTTACATGCGGGTAAGACAGAACTAGTATTGTTCACCAGAAAGCATAATACTCCAGTAGTTACGGCGCCATTATTAAATGGTTGCAGACTAACAATTGGAGATAAGGCAAGCTACCTTGGACTAACCTAAGACAGGAAGCTTTCATGGAAACAAAACTCTCTAGCACTCTACACTTGTAAAAGGATGGTGGGCCCCAAATAAGGGCTAACGCCTCGGATAGCTTTTTGGCTCTATACAGCAGTTGTCGGACCAATCATGACATACGATATATGGTATGGTGGCCAATAATGGATAAGAAATACGCGGTAAGGCGTATGGAAAGTATGCAAAGAGCAGCCAGTATACGCATTAGTGGAGCTCTTAGAACAACGCCAAGCCAGGCACTAAACGTCATTCTACGTTTATTGCCAACAGACCTGTTCTGTAAGCAAGTGGCAGCAAAGTCAGCTCTCAGACTGAGGGAATCCTCCCAATTAGTCGCCTGCAACAAGGGGCATTCTATGATACTTATTTTATTCCCGTTTCTACCCAAAACTACGGATTTCCGCAATCCAATAGAATCGAAGCTAAATTCGGTCCACAATATTGTCTTCCCCGCTAGAGCGGAGTGGGACAGGGACAAGGTGGACAGGAATGCAGGAATTAGCAACTACACGGATGGATCCAAACTAGATAATCGAGTGGGAGGTGGTGTCTGCTCTGCAACTTTGGACACCAAAATCGCCTTCCGTTTACCAGACCACTGCAGTGTTTTCCAGGCGGAGATCACAGCAATCAAAGAAAGCCTTGTTGTACTGACAAAAAGTGTGCTCACAACAAGGAGCATATATATACTTGTATATACGGATGGCCAAGCGGCCTTGAAATCACTCAAGTCTCCTATGGTCTAATTAAAGATAGTGAAAGAATGTCTTGATCTTTTAGAGGATCTAACATCCTACTTCACGATAAACCTGCAATGGGTTCCAGGGAGAGGGTATTTTTATGCCTCTGGCAACTTGCAAACACTTAATCAGCGAACATGCTATAAATCTAGCTGAGTCTCGGTGGAGAAAATCATTAACCTGCTCAACCAGCAGACTAACGTGGCAGGAATGGAGGTGAGTCGCACAAACCGACTATTAAAATTCAAACGGAATGACATAAGAACTCTGATAGGAGTACTACCAAGTCACCGTCTAATTGGTAGACATGTCAGCAGGCTAGGTGTACCTCACAACGACTATTGTAGAAGCTGTCAGGAAGTAGAAGAAGAGGAGACTGTAAAACATCTTCTATGCGAATGTAAAGCTCTATTCAGGAAAAGAATCGTAACTATCGGTCGTGGGTTCCTTGGCGACGTATCAGAAGTTGCTAATATAAAATTATTTGTACTGATGAGCTTCATCAGGAGCACAGGTTGGTTCATAAAGAAGACGATAGATTGAGGGAACATTAGTTCCGGTATAGGCCTAGGTGCGTCGTTAGACAACCGCTCTACCTACCTACTTACCCAAACAATTTTAAGTCTAATAAGGCAATCAAACAGAGCATAACAGTTTTGTTCACCTAACGGTGTTTGTACCATCTAACTATAATCGAGATAGATATAGGTTTATATATATGATATATAAATGATCAGGATGACAAGGCGATTTGAAATCAGGGTGACTGTCTGTTCGTCCGTCCGTACAAGCTGTAACTTGAGTAAAAATTATGATATATTAATGAAACTTGGTACACATGTTCCCTGGTAAAAGAGTAAGGACGAGTTGGTAGATGGGCGTAAACAGACCACTTCCACGTCCACAAAATGCTATTAAACGACTTGTATAAAGTGCCATATCTAAACCATTAATTATGATACAGAACTCTAATTTGACACAATGAATCACATTAGGGAGGCCCACCTGTGGTTTGAAAATTGTGGTTCAACCCCCTTATAAGTATAGTATTTATAGCTTCCAAACCGACAAAGCTATATTACCCAAATTTGCATAGAACAAATGCTTTCAACATTTCTTATGATTGTGTCAAAATTGGCGAAATCGGATGATAACCCTCACTTCCAATATATCAGTTTTGTAAAAACTACAAAAAGCGCGATAAATAGGATGGAACGAGAGTTTAGTTTAAATCACATATCTCGGGACCTGCTCAACCGATTTCGAATTCGGTACATAACATTCTTCTGAGGTTCCTATGTTACACTGCAAAAAATAGGGGTTATCGAACTACAACCACGCCTATTTCTCATATACATATATATTTTTTATTTAAAACCTTTTTCAAACGATAACAACGTTTGATAGTTCTACAACTAGTTTTATAAACTAACGAGCAGTTTTATTTTTAAAAGCTTACAAAGATATCAAAGAAATTCATAATCCCTTGAATTTCTTGGTATTCTAACTACCAGCTAAATTATGTGATTTTTTTCGACATTAGCGACTAGAAAGACATCTGTATGGAAGGATTTCTCATACAGCACAATTTTAAATTCCATCTGCTTCTTTCAAATTCCAGTATACAAATAAAGCACGAATTAATATAACGGAATAAAACTTTGCACTAATAGTGCCTTTGAAGTGTGCCATCTTATGACCAAAAATTGTTCAAATCGCACCAAAACTATTAAAACCGGTACCGAATGTGTTTACCCCAGTGCCTATATTTGACTTTTTACCAAAAATGTGTGAGATATATATTTGAAATTCAGAGATAATGCTGTCCTGACAATAGTTTGTCTGAATGTCTAAAATGGGCTGAATCGGGTCAATACTTCCTTTAGCCCCCATATTCCTAAAATAAATATTTTCGAACTTCCTAGTGACTTTATACCGCATATAGCGGCCGATATGTAAGTAAAGTCTCATGAAAATGAGAAAGCGTCTATATATAACTAAATTCAGAATTTTCGAACATCACAACAATGGTGTGTGGGAGCATTCCACTAGCATGTGGCATATTAATAGCATGTGGTATTAGCAAAAATAGATAAACCGGGTCGATACTAACCCCAACTTACATATACATACTACATATAATTACGCAATTCACAAGCTTTGTCTTATATCTTCTGTCGTATTTCAATAGTCTTTAAAAATACGACACTTGTGAGCACCTCTTAATCGTTGTATGTCATATTGTATAAAAGTTCTACACTTCTCCAGCTGGTAGTGAAAAATTAAGAACACGAAAGTTTCATTGGAAACTAACAAACATAAAATTAAAGCTTCTTTATGTGAAAGCTTTCTTTATCTTGAAACGGAAACAACAAAATATTTTTATATTTTACTTTTCTTCCACTTAATTTACCTGAATAACGTGGCTTGATTTCATATTATTATACGACGATATGACACCTTGTAATACCCTAAATGATTTTCGTTGTTTTCAGAAGTTTTATGCCGAGTAAATCCCACTGAACGACAGGTGAGTTATATATTTAAAAAATAGCTTGCAAATATATTCTCAAGTATACCTGAGCAATGTGAGTATAATGATTTCCAACTTTTCCTTTCCACCTAATACATATATAAAAATAAAATATTTTAATAAAACTAAATGAACCTGTGTTCTTAAAAATTTTGTGGTTTGGCGCTGAGTTAGAATGGAATCGATCTTTACTTTGGTCTAAACCTCATATCTCTAATATAATGAATTCCGATTCTCTGGTTTAGCCTATTAGGTCGAGTTGATACCACACACATACATATAAGTATATCCCATTTGAAGAAGTTTTAATAGGCTTTTTCTGACGCGAACTAAAATATAACTACAGCCGTCAATATAAGTCAAGAATATATCAAATTTGATTCTAATTTATTTACAATGTTTGCTAATAATATATATTGAATTCTTTAGCAACATTTTTTATACCCTGAACAGCGTATATTAAGTTTGCCACGAAGTTTGTAACACCCAGAAGGAAACGTCGGAGACCCTATAAAATATATACATAAATGATCAGCATGATGAGCTGAGTTGATTTAGCCATGTCCGTCTGTATATATGCAAACTAGTCCCTCAGTTTTTAAGCTATCGATCTGAAATTTTGCACCTGTCCTTTTCTCACTAAGAAGCTGCTCATTTGTGGGAACGGCCGATATCGGACCACTATAGCATATAGCTGCCATACAAACTGAACAATCGGAAGCAAGTCTTTGTATGGGAAACTTTTTTATTTGATGTAATATCTTCACGAAATTTGGCATGAGTTATTTTCTAAGGCAACATTTCCAAAGAACTTGCTTAGAGCGGATCACTATAGTATACAGCGGCCATACAAACTGAACGATCGAAATCAAGTGCAAGTGTATGGAAAACTCTTTCAGTTCACTAGGTATCTTCACGAAATTTGGCATAGATTATTAGTTAAGGCAATAGTGTAATTTCCGAAGAAATTGTACAGATCGGATGACTATAACATATAAGGCAACAACTAATTTGAAGCAAAAAATACATAAACCACTTATTGGCTAAAAACAACATAAGAGACGGATAATTTTAAAAATTAAAGACCATTTTATTCAGTCAGTTCAGTGGACTGTTGTATTTTAATTAACAAATATACCGATAGCTTCTATTTGGTCCTGGTCGCCACCAAAATATTGCAATAAGTTATAACTTTGAAGTTTCTTATTTTCATATTGGAATAAAAAAACTCAAAAACTTTCGTTAAACAATTTTATATTTCGAAAATACTAAACGTAAGATAATATAAGTGGATTAAAAAGGAGTTGTATTGAAAAATTGGTTCGTCAGTATTAGACAGTATATTACTGGCTCCAACAATATTCCAAAATGCGAAAAAAATTCAAAGTTACTACCAAGCCCGAGTTATTGCACGGTCGGTCCGATAAGTATTTAGAAAAAGGATTCACTTCAACTGACGAATCTGCTCCAAAGAAAGTGGGAAAGGTGGCCTTTTCTCAGATTCACAACTTCACAGTGTATGCATTCCGATTTTCGGACTGGATGTACTTCAATATAAAGTAGGCCATCCAAAAAACAGTATATTCCTAAGTCAAAGAATGTTTTCTTTCCGTAAGTCTGTTGACACGATTTGATGTGTTCGAAACATTCTGATTTATTCTGAAAACCTTTCATTTGATATTACTTGAAATGACTAAGCATGTTTAAAAACTTTTCTGTTTAATTACTTAAAAATATACGTATGCCTTAACTATTTACATATAAAGTATGTACATCTGTATAAAATAATTTACTTAATTAAAAAGTGAATGAAGACGTCTTATCCGTTCACAGCCTCAAATCAACGACTTTCCAACCATTGTGATCCTGATTGGTTGTCTTGAAATCAGTAATTTTTACCTCACCTTCGTCGTCATCATAAGCACTAGGACCGAGTTTCCCGTATGTTGACCTTAACTTTCCGCTTCTGTTATGTATCATGGCCATTTGCTTCTCATAGTCGTAAAATCGGTCAGGAGCGGGCGTTGTTGATGTTACTGTTGTACGTGATGCATACTCACGTGGCTTCTCGAAGTTTATTTTACGATCGTTGCGTTTGTATGGTGGATGGTGATGAAGTTCATCGTTTTCATAGTGTTGATTAAAAATACCTACATTGCCGGGTAAGTACCCATCGCCACCACCAATTGCATGCGCGTGAGACTTGAAGGGTGGAGGTCCCAGTGGAAGACCACCGCCGCCTCCGCCGAAGAGTCCAAAGCCACCAAATCCACCTGCACCAGCACCAGCACTTAGCGCAGTTAAAGCTCCACCAACGCCTAAAAAGCTGCTTAGATAAATGGCGAACTTAGCCAAGAAAAGCGACTTCTTCAGCAGCAAGCAAATACCGGCGAACACAAGTGGCACCAGTGCGACCAAGTTGAATTTAAAGCCAAGCAAAAATGGCAATAAGTATTGTTTTGCTAAGAGGCGGGCTTTTTTTTGTAGTGAGTATGAAGTAAAAAGTCTGGTTAGTGACTTAAGGCGCATTTGAAAGCTCAACTTACCTGTTGATGGCTCTTCATAGCCAAAGTTTCGCTCAACAGCAGATGGATCGAGCACAAACTGCGCCACACTATTTGTATCGGCAGTGGGTCCAATCTTGAACATTAGTCCCGGATATATTGCATCCATGTGCCATTCAAGTCCACGTTGGCCCATTACAGCACCAGCATTTTCCAATATTCCTCTACAATAGTAAAAATAATCAAGTAATTGATGTTAAATAAATGTTTCTCTCTCTTCTCGATATAGTTTAAGTCGATGTTGCTGGATCACCGCTACGCCCACATTTTATATTATTTTATTTTAAGTATCATCAACTTATTTACATTTGCAATAAATAGTCGCACATCAATAAAGATATCGGTAGAACTTTGCCACCTGATGACATATTGTTTCGTTCCCCCAACATCCATCATTTTCCCAATTTAATAATGTTCCACCCTTTAGTTAGCTATATATTGCGAAGTGGGATGTAGGGTAATATAAAAGTCTGCAGGTAATCTTCCTCTTTAAATTATTCTAAAGGCTGTTGGATTTATTTTATAAGAACTCATTAGTCAATATCTATATATCATCCAAGAGGTCATCTGGATAATAAAAATAGTTACTCGACTTGTGATATGGACTCTAATATTGAAATTCTTTAACATACGCACTATATTTCCGGGCAGAATAGAATGTTTATCACATTCGAAGTTCTATAATATAAGTAGTAAAAGGTAAAATCAGATAAAAGCACTTTGTGTAAGTCAATTTGAAATTCTCTCGTATAATAGAATATTTCAAATACTTTTTTTGACAGCGAAATTACGGCCTAGAGCAAGAAAACCTGCATTCGGATATATTATGTTACGATCTTACGTTTGTAGGATATAAGAAGTAATATTAAGCTAATTTTTGTTATACCTTTATATTAAAGAATTCTTTTTTTGTAATTTTATAAAGGGGTTAAGGCTGTCTAAGATTAAAAAATGTTTTATTGGTTAAAGTATCATTTGTGGCAAACGCGTTTTTTTCGATTTTAAATGGGGCGATTGGTACTCGTAGTCTATCGAACGTATCTAATGGAAGTGTGGACTGCAGCTTCACAGTCACTTTAATTTAATTTTTCGGTTTATATTTGTGTAATTTCGTAAAAGGATTATGTAAAGATAAAAACGTAGGTACTTTTCCATTAATTTGTCGGTGGCGCACGTAGAGGCCCTCTTTAAAAAGACGATTTAAAAGTTTGGCTCAGCAGCAGTTATTTAAATATTTACCTATACGTATGTATATCTAATAAAACGAGAAAGGCAAAAGTCTGAGTCCTCTAGATTGATTTCATGGATTACTATGTCTTTCTAGAATTATTTTATTAAGTTTACCACGAAGTTTGTAGTACGTAGAAACGTTGAGGACCTATAAAAATATTTAAATAAATGATCAATATGACGAGCTCAGTCGATTTAGTCATGACGGCTGTCTGTTCGTGCGCCTGTATATACGGGAACCAGTCCCTTCAAGAAGCTGCTCAATTGTATCCGCCGACATCGGACATAGCATATTGCTGCCATACAAACTGATCGCTCGGATAGAAGAGCGTGCGTGGGAAGCTTTTTCGTATGACCAGATTTCTCCACGAAATTTGGCATGCGTTATTGTCTAAAGCAATGGTGAAATCTCCGAAGAAATTATTTAGATAGCACCGCTATAGCGTATAGGTGCCATACAAACTGAGCAATCAAAATCAAGTTTTTGTAAGGAATCTTTTATACTTGTGAAATATATTATATATATATTGTTTCGGCCCAAACGAAGAAACGTTTTTTCTTATTTATTTACACTTTCTGCACCTCAAATTCCTTCTCACGATGCTCACGAATATACTATTGTATTTATAAATTGTTTATTCACCTAAAATCCACAGGGTCCGTGTCCAAAAAATTTACCAAAGAGCGCGCTGAAATTTTATCATTCTTCGTAGAAACTAAATCCCTGAAGAATGTGTAATTATCCTGTTCATCGAAGCGTTGCAGGAAATTGAGGGCTGTGCGGCCGATGCACTCGCGCAGACTCGGATGCTGCGACTGACGCATGCAATAATGGAATTGATCGAGTTCGCGTGATGACGGATCTACATTAGTGACAGCTTGAACGAAAGTTATGCACACAACGAAATTAAGCGTTACGAAAACGCGTCTCGAGGATGTCATTTTACGTTGTTGAAATATGCACTTTTCACTTATTTTGGCAGTTTTAATTCCCGGAGGTGTTGGCGTTGGAAGAATTGACGTTGAACTGAAATGGGCAGCTTGTTTGTTACACAGATTTATAGTATACCTAAGGTGGATTACATCGTTGCTGTTGTTATGCACTCTGATTCTCAGTTGACTTGCCACTGCGACCAACACATGCAAAAATGCGTAAATGTGTATGATACATTGCTGACTATGTGTAGTTTGACCGAAAAATCACCGTTGTACGTAATTCGCTAGGGTCGTCTATACAAACACCGACACACATACACCCACGCACATACTATTTTCTATATTTTCGCACATTAAAGACTTAATAGCATCAAAGCCGAATTTTAGGAAAATGACGAAAACAAACAATGCAAAATTGAGTTGCGGAAACTGTATGTGAGTGTGTGCGTCTGCGTCGTTTGCGACCGGCTTATCGACCGTTGCTTGCCATGTATCTTTAACTATATTCGTGCGAGCCAAAAGCTGGTTGCTGCACCCATTGCCATGGTCAGTGCACGTCGCTGGCGTCTAAATGAGCCCACATTAAATTTTCGTATTTTCCGATTTTTGCAGTTTTTGCTTGTGTCCGCCCCATTATGTAAGCGTCTTTTATTAGGGGCAAATGTATGAAAAAATGTGTGTTACTGTGCGATTCGTCGGCCGATCTGTTATGCATTCAGCGCAGATTTCAACCTAATGATAAATGAAAATGCCCAAAGTTATGAAATTTGCACATCTGTTAGCGATGTGTGACTTTAAAAGAGGCTAAAGTGATTGTCTGGCAGTTAGAAGCAACTATGAGATGAAGTCTGGTGGGAAGACGGCGATGATATTTGGGACGTAGAAATTTTGCTTGTTTGCGTATTTTCCATTGTGATTGCCTCCTTGCCGCATGCTTGTGAATATGCTATATTAAAGTAGTTGATTTTTAGGCACAGCCGCATATGTATATAAATATGTACATAAAGAGGTGCTGATGTAATGTGGTGTTGATACAATAAAAAAAACATTTTATTATTAAAATAAATTTTTTTTTGTGCCTATGCTTGTTATACGCTCATAGGTGGGGTTAGGTTATGTTATACAGTAGCAATGAAATACTGTATGTTGTTCCACTTGTCTATCTAAAATGCTTATAAATAATTCAACTGAACAACAAATCAAGTAGACAACAAAAAAATACCTTTTTTTCCAAAGTCTTTCACGGTTCTTTAGAATTATTTCGTTATTTCCCTTCAGACCGCCTTTCACGTCTAACATTCTTTCATCCACTCACGTTAACCAGAATTTGTGATTTTGCACTTCTTATGCACCCACTATCGAAAAGTTTCGGCCTAAATTTCAGCCACGAAGATTTGTTTTGAATACCTTCGTCTACGCTAAAGGCGTAGAGAATTTTCGGGATATATGTATAGTTTTTCGCGTTTATTTTGACGAAAAAAAATTATTGTTGTGTAAAATTTTTTGTTGGATAGAAGAACCGATTTCATTGAATTTTGTCTTCATGTAAAATTGTTTTTATTAGATTAATGAGTTTGTTATAAGGTCAAACAGAAAGATGGAAGCGGGATGGTTGTGGTCCGAATTTGGCCATTTCCAAGCTGTAGCAAGAGGGTATCATAAAATTTTTACTAAATTTCTAAATTTTAAGGCTTTGTGAAGAAAATATCCACATGAAATTTACAGATGAGAAATGAAATTTAAATTTTTTCAACTTTTCTTTAGTTTTCTCTTCTCGTTCAACTGCATTCCTGAAAACTTGGTTCACTACTACGCAGAGGCCACTCGTAGCGGCTTTTTGGCTGGAGAAGAGGCGCAGTGAGCTTTTTCACGGCAGGGTCGCACTTGTAGGGGAAGTATTCTGTAAGGAGTTCTCTGTTAATCTTAGCCTTAGGCTACCGGACCACAGTAATGTCTTTCAAGCAGAAGTGGTTGCTATTAAGGTGGCGGCAGACGTACTGCTAGAAAATGAAACTTATTTCAGGGAGCTGAGCATTCACTCCGACAGCAGAGCGGCAATACTAGCGCTAAGCTCGCAAACTATGCGGTCAAAGCTAGTCAAGGAGAGTCGGCCTTCACTACAAATAGCATCAAGCTCCTTCATCATCAGACTCGTTTGGGTGCCGAGTCATAGCGGAATCAATAGCAACTGCAAAGCCGATGAACTAGCCAATGGGGGCATTCTTGTCCCGCTCGCGTTGGAATGGCAGCGAGTGGGTTCTCCATTGGCAACTTGCTTTTAGGACTGGACCAATGGACCTCACGTGCGCTTAGCACGTGCGAGTTGGCGATCCGTTCCTGTGCGACTGCGATATCCTTTTGGCCTAGAGTAGAATGCAGATCATTCGAATTACTTGCTCTTAGCAAAGTTCATCTTGCCGCAATAGAAGGGGTTCGTACTAGGCATTGCCTAACATTTTTTGCAAGTTGTCAGTGTTATGTGGAGGTGGGTGAGGTGGAAATATCCAGGCAATTTTTCCTCCATTGTCCAGCATTTACAAGACTGATAATGAATGTGACACATCTCGCAGTCTAACCTTTGGCTAACCAGGAGACATTACCCGTCTTAACAAATTTGTGATAGGCCCAAAGTGCTTTGTTGATTTGTAAGGGTCATATGATCTGTTATATAGGAGTTTTAGGTGCCACAACGGGCCAGCGTTCTAAGATGCCCAAGTGAGATACCTGTTAGGATCGACCTCCTAACCTTACCTAGTTTGCTGCTTATTATTACAAATATCAAATAAATAAGTTAATTTTTTTTTTAATTTTATAGCGAGCTTTTGGTCTAAAATTTATAATGTGTGTTTATTGACCAAACTAACTTCGTTACGCAAGAATACAACATATCTATATGTTTTACAACTGGTTTAGTCTAGTCATTAATTTTCTTTTTAACTCACGACTGATCTTAAAATGAATGCTAATTGCATTACTCTAAATAATCGCTTAACTTCAAAAACTAACATTAAAGTAATTTGATCAAATATTTAACTTGCGACTTCACCTTGTACCTTCCATAATGCTACAGGTAATTACCCAAACCAAAATTGCTGCTTCTTTGTGGTTGTCACTGAAATATTCACTGTATGTAAAAGTGAATGTTCAGGCCGCAAATCACCGTAAACATTTAAAGTTTTTATTCACGAACGGCCACAAAGCAATAATTTAGTGTTTCACTTCCAATCTTGCCTCGCCATCAAGAACATTAGCATGTGACCTAATAATGTTGCTGAATATTATATCTGTTAAAATAGTTCATGTAGTTTTCACTTTCCATCCTTTATGTCAGCGTTTATGCTTCGCAGATGACAGATAGAGTTATATATATACATATGTGCATGTGTGTGTATAAGTATAGGCGTTTAAAAAATACAGGACAGACTTCAGAGATCTGGCATCAAACGAAGCAGTACTGTAATCAAACACCTACTTTCAAAAACACACATTGAAACAAGGAAAACGTTAACACGTTAACTTCGGTTGTGACAAAGGTAGAATACCTTTTACAAATCAAAAAATCTTCATACAAAAACTTGAGTTTTATCGGTCCGTTTTTTTGGCAGCAATATGTTATAGTGGTCCGATCTAAGATGAAGATATATTGTATAATATACCTCAGCTATAACAAAACAATGTATTTTCTATAATTACAACATTTTCCCCAATAAATAAACAACAATTTTTTTGTTTTGAATGCATTGAAAATCGGATCATTCTAACTTTGCTACATAAAAACCTTCAATTTATTGCAAAAATAAGGTTAGACCCTTTAGTAGGTAGATAGGTAGGTAGAGTGGCTGTCTAACGACGCACCTAGTCCTATAGGAGGCCCATTGTGATATCACCTGGACTAATATCGTCTCCTCTCTGAACCAACCTCTAAAAGATAAAGACATTCTTTCACTATCTTTAATGAGACCATAGGAGACTTGAGTGATTTCAAGGCCGCTTGGCTATCCGTATATACAAGTATATATATGCTCCTTGTTGTGAGCACACTTTTTGTCAGTACAACAAGGCTTTTCTTTGATTGCTGTGATCTCCGCCTGGAAAACACTGCAGTGGTCTGATAAGCGGAAGGCGATTTTGGTGTCCAAAGTTGCAGAGCAGACACCACCTCCCACTCGATTATCTAGTTTGGATCCATCCGTGTAGATGCTAATTCCTGCATTCCTGTCCACCTTGTCCCTTTCCCACTCCACTCTAGTGGGGAAGACAATATTGTGGACCGAATTTAGCTTCAATTCTATTGGATTGCGGAAATCCGTGGTTTTGGGTAGAAACGGGAATAAACTAAGTATCCTAGAATGCCCCTTGTTGCAGGCGACTAATTGGGAGGATTCCCTCAGTCTGAGAGCTGACTTTGCTGCCACTTGCTTACAGAACAGGTCTGTTGGCAATAAACGTACAATGACGTTTAGTGCCTGGCTTGGCGTTGTTCTAAGAGCTCCACTAATGCGTATACTGGCTGCTCTTTGTATACTTTCAATACGCCTCACCGCGTATTTCTTATCCATTATTGGCCACCATACTATATATCGTATGCCATGATTGGTCTGACAACTGCTTTACAGCCCAACGATTTATATCGTCCAAGATCGTTTGCATAAGGTTTGCGAGAGTATTCGGGAATTTTTCTCCAACCGATACTGCCACATCGTCAGCGTAGGACACAACATGTACCCCCTTCTTTTCTAGATCCCACTGCAACTTATGCATTGTCAGATTTAGAGATGTCCAGACCATTAAGCGTACTCAGTATGGTCAGTATTAGAATGTATTCTTTAATTTCCAGAGATTATTCAATCTCCGATACCACAGAGCTCAGCGATGTTTCTGTGGATTTTCCTTTAGAATACGCATGCTGCGAACCAGCCAATTTTTCTGGGTTTAGTTTCTTTCTTATATGTAGTTCTATTAGCCTTTCTAACGTTTTTAGAAGGAATGAGGAGAGACGAATTGGTCCTATATTACCTTGACTTCCCTCCACAACGAAGGGATATAGTTTAGTTGCAGGGCCCCCTTAAGAATGGTAACTAGCCAATCCATTATGTAATTCTGCGACTGCTGTAATTGAGCCGGGAATAGACCGTCTGGTCCCGGCGACTTGAGGGGCTTGAAGCTATTTATTGCCCAGTGAACGTT